ATCATCATCACCACTGTGAAAACCGTGACTACCACATTTGATCAAACTGCATAACTCATATCCAGGGCCTTGTCGTCCATTCATCAGTTTGACTCTTTCCTTGCAGGAAAATGTACTATTTTCCATTTTCCTACGTCTCCTCGCACTCTGTATAAAAAACCCTCCGTTGAGTTTTTCTCCATCTGTCTGGCGTCGTCCATCAATTTTTTAAGTTCATCTCTTTGCTCAACAGTAAGATCATGACTCAGACCAACATGAGACAGATTATCGCCTACTGACTTCATTTTAAAAACATTTTTGAAAACGAGTTCCTTCACCTTGACATCATCAAACTTTACCAAAATTGGTCTTACCACCGTATCATTTTTCTTACCAAGTCGTACCAACTTTATTATGTTTGTTTCACCGCAGACACCACCGGTCAGATGACTGATTATCTTGCAAACCCTGTTTCTGTCGTCCGTTCCTTCACTCAGTCGAAAAACCACTATATTTGCCTCTCGTTCCTTCGATTCCATTACATTGGTTAACGTTTTTTGCACTTTTTTTACATCATCGTTTATGATTTGGACACTTTTCACAACCTCAGAACTGACCACGCTAGCAAATGATCTGGTCATTTCATTTCTAAAGTTCGAAATCTCATCACAGAGCTTTGATCCAGGGACATCCAATCCAGACATTTTGCCTTCATTTGCTTCCAATTTTACCTTGATTAGTAAAATTGTATGTATGTATGTATGTATGTATGTATGTATGTATGTATGTATGTATGTATGTATGTATGTATGTAGGTACATATGTATGTTTGCATGTATACATGTTTGTATACATTGATACTTGTTCTGTTGTTAGCATCATCATCAAATCATTCTTCCTCACATCTCATTTTAAATATGAGAGGTTGAATCTTCTTTGAAAACAATAAGATTTGTATGAAAAGATAACTTGTTGGCATATTAATAAACAAACAAATTACTTGAGGTAGCATGCAAATAAACGTATAATTAAATAAGAAATTAGTCCCAATAAATTACTGATACCAACAAATGCATGCATGTGCCAGACTATAATAAATCTTTATTGGTAGACTGGGAGCAATAATCTGCTTCAACAGTAAAGAAACAAACAAGCAGGCAGCCAAGAAACAAAACACAACCAAACACAACCAAACATAACAAAACACAATAAAACATAACAAAACACAACAAAACAGCCCATAACATAATAAGACCAAAGTGAACGCAGTAAAAAAAAAACAACAAAATAAAATTAAACATAGCAGAATCCAGCAAAACGAAAATGCATTATTCCTTGCAATGCACAACCTGCATGTCTATTTCTAGTTTGGTTATTTATCAAATACAGCTGGAGAAAACACAAAACTGGGAATGCATTTGAGAACTAAATATAATTATGCACTTGCTAATTCATTTTTGGGGTAAGGTTACAACTTTACTATAATTAGATGCCCATAAAAACGTTATCACTAACAATCTAGGCTCTCTCTCTCTCCCTCTCTCTCTCTCTCTCTATTTCATTTTTTTCTCTTTTTTCCAGACTAGAAAATAAGAAAATAATTTTAATTATTATTATGAAAAAAATTTTAAAAATATTAAACAGAAATAAATGTAAATCGAAAAATGTTCAGAATAAAAACGTTGTCTTCCAACTTCAATCACTTTCTATATTTCAGTTTTATAGTTCTATAGTTCATCATCAATGTTTCCAAACAAAATGTAAACTGTTGACATCATTAGCAACTAATATAAGTTATCAACAAATTAGCATGCAATTTACTTAAAATAAAAAAAAAGAAGCTCAAAATAAAACAAATAAATTTTCACACAGCTTTAAAATTTAATAAATAATGATTTACTCAGTTAAACAAAAAACTGCATGGTACTGGATAAGCTCTGTCTTTTCCAAAAAAAGAGGTCAAAGGTCATAAAAGGAATGGTTCATTTAATAATAAATCTTACTTAACATTGTTTATCACAAGATTCATCGTCTTCATCCTAAGTGCAATCACCATCATCATCATCATTATTATTATTCTCATCATTATTGTCATCAACTGCATCACAACTATCAATGTAATCATCCTAAGACTTGTTAAATTTCAAAAGCAATCAAAGAATATCCAAATATCCAATTCAACTATCCGGATTCTGTCTTGAGTGTTGTGTCATAATGACTTGTTTCATTGCATGCACCTGTCTCATCTCCTTTGTCTGCTGGTACTGTCTGCCACTGCAACACACAGCACAGACCAATTGTTAAGCTTGCACATCAGACTATGCATAAATCTCAACATTCCAGTTCATTCCATTAAACATCTCCACAAACAAACTTATGCAATATGATCTTCCACCATATTTCTCTTTCACTCCATTCAAAGATACCAGCAATCCTCAAGATACAACCAGCTTTGAACGTTGGTGAAGCATTATTATAACATGTTGTGACATGAATTTAAAGTGGATTTGTTGGCCAGCCTTTAAAAATATATTTGAAGCAAAAAAGTACTAAACACTGACTAATTTGTGCATCTGGTGTGGTGAATCATAATAAAAGAAAAAAATAACATGCACTTTATAAACAGTGGTGTGGCTGGAATAGAAATGAGAAAAATAACAAGGGATGATGGCAGGTTGATAAAATATGAGAGTGTGTACTGATAAAGGAATGAATGAATATATGGTGATAACAATGGTGATGTACTTATAAACCAAAAATGATAAATGACGATGAATATAATAATGATGGTAATGTGATGTACTTATAAATCAAAGAGACATGAATGATGATGATGAGGTAGTTGTAGCGACCAAAAATGATAAATGATGATGACAAAGATGAAATAGTGGCGGTAAACAAGCAAGGATGATTTGGGAAAAATGTCATTAAGAGGCAAACCAACCTTTGAATATCTTGCTGATGATGATGGGCATCTTGTTCTCACTTCCTCCCTTGATACTGATACCCAGACCGCTGTTGTCCTCCTTGAACACCCGAACCACCCTCTTCTGACCTGTCAGACCATCCAAGGTGTTTGTGTTGTTGCAGTTGTTGTTGTTGGTGGTGGTTCTCGTGTTCGTGTTGCTGCTGTTGTGGTGGCTCCTGGTGCTGTTGCTGCCTGCTCTGTTCAGAGATGAATGTTTACCTGCAATGAAAGTGTTAAAAAATTAAAAATAGAACATAAAAATTGTTTCTGTGATACAATAGAATAATAAATGGATGAAAAAAAAGTTGTAAATGTAATAAATCTGATTAATTTCATTCCAATTATAAATCCCTTAAATAAAAAGTTTTTCAAGAGGTTGTATCTGCATAATTGATAAAAAAAAATAGACATTCAGAATGAATCTCGGCAGAAGCTGAAGCAAATCTGTTAAACATCTCTGGAATCAATTTTCACTATTTAAAAATTTGTAAAAAATTACTGACATGAACCTAATTTTAGGCATTTAAAATATAACTAAGCAGTGGATGGGTGAAATGATATAGAATTCAATTGTTACTTAATTTAATTTTATTAGTACTTATTTTTTTTTATTTATAACTAATTAATTAATTTATTCATCCATTTTTTCTTCAAATTAACATTATTTAATTTCATTATTACTTATTTTTATTTCATTTGTTTCAGACATGAACCATTTAATTAAAGTTTTCTATTTGAGGTTGGCACCATAGAGAAAATTCATTCAAGTTACCTATGTTACATTCTATGAATATGTTGCATTATTATAATTATAGACGAATAGAATAAATGAATAAACAATGAGAGACAGGCGGAATAATGAAAATTAATTGCAAAATTAAAATAGAAGTCACCCGTTGTGGCAGTGTGGGCATCAAGAGTTGCATCATCTGCAATTGATATTATGAGGTCTTCGCCCTTCAGACTGGCATAAACTTTATGCCAGACTTGTCCAACTAGGACCTCCACCAGTGTATTCTCCATTTCAAATGATGATTCAACAGAGATCAAGAACTTATTTTTAATTTAATTAATTTAAAAATTTTAATGACAACAAACTGGTTTATTATTATTTTAATCAACTTTTAATAAAAATAAAATTCAATATGATTTGTCAACATTACTAATACTAATATTACTTTAGTAAAGTTTAGTTTAGTTGTTAAACATTTTTTATATCTGATATATTTTTCAATTTAGTTTTAAAAAATGAGCTAAACCTTGAATTAAATTTTATTTAAAAAATTAGCATAGTAAAAATGGTGGTAAAATGAGGGTGAAATTTTTAAAAATTTTGATTCAGATTTTATGAAGTTGACGCAGATTTAAAAAAAAAAAGCGAAACGAATACACGTCTCCCCGAACTGAAAACGAAGCAGCATGCGGCTTAAGTTCACTTTTCGTTTTACTTTTTCACTCAGTAGAATTAAAACTGATTTCATCGATCATAGTCCATAAACAACTATGCAACAATAATTGAACTATAGTACTTTATTTTTCTGTCAGACACAGAGAAATGAACAATATGCAAAGTATGAAAAGATGAAAATAGAATTATGAATTTAAAACGGATGAGATGCATTTATTGGAAGTAAAATGAAATAATATAAAGAAAATTTTGGTGAAAACATGTAGAAAAAATAAAACTGTATAACAAGTATATATGATAATACAACTGATAAAACAATGGTAATGATAAAATGGAAGTATAAAATAAAAATATAAGGTAACGAAAACAGAAATAATAATTATAAACAATATAATACATATTGCTTATTATAAAAACAAGTAGGACAATTGAACGTACGTGACGTTGATAGAATGTTGACAAGGAGGAAGCGTTTGCATCATTACATTTTGTTTTTACTACGTTGTTATTCATGTAACTACTGACACACTGACGAAAGGGGGTTGATTTCATCAACCCCGCCTGCAGCAACCCGCGGTTTAACAAATTAAAAATTTTAAATACAATAAATAAGATATTTAAGAGGTCTGGGAAAGGGGTGTTGAGATAATTAATTATTATTTTTATTTATGAATATGTATTATATGTAGAAATGTTAACAATTGAACGTACGTGACGTTGATAGAATGTTGACAAGGAGGAAGCGTTTGCATCATTACATTTTGTTTTTACTACGTTGTTATTCATGTAACTACTGACACACTGACGAAAGGGGGTTGATTTCATCAACCCCGCCTGCAGCAACCCGCGGTTTAACAAATTAAAAATTTTAAATACAATAAATAAGATATTTAAGAGGTCTGGGAAAGGGGTGTTGAGATAATTAATTATTATTTTTATTTATGAATATGTATTATATGTAGAAATGTTAACAATATTTGTTTGTTTGTGATATTAGATAATTTGGGATGAGCTCGCTCGCAATCCTTAATGGACATCAGCCATGTAAAAAAATTTCATTTCGTTTCTTTAATTGATTTTGGAAGTGTACTTCCAAATCTATAAGAGTGCGGACAGAAAAGAAACAAGTTAATAATTTGTCAAATGAGCTAGAAGCAATATCACACCGTGAAAATACAGACCGATCGTTAATTAAACCTTTAAATCAGAATTAGTTCGAAATATATTTAAAAACTCCTGCAAAATCACCATAAATCAAACTTGAATTCCAAAAAACATGGGGAATAGTTAATTAGTTAAATAAATAGTTAATTTCTCTGACAAAATGTTCATTATAAATATGAATTTAAATTCTTCACAAAAAACTTAACGCACCGCTAATAACGATACGTTCGTGTGCGACGACACAATCTTCACCCAACAATTCCTAATAAGGATATAACAACGTTACATCCTACACTTGGAGGAACTGATTTGTTGGATGAAAATGGATATCTGTCTAACACCTAGAACAAACTGAATGAACGATAAAAAATTGTACAAAACGTTCGCGATATAGAAAAATAATGGAGCTGGAATGAACAATTGTTATGCTTAAAATGAATTAAAATTGATGTAAAATCTATGCCAAAATGCGACATTCGTTAAATCATTTAAAACACATACATAATTATGTATCATCGTGTCATAGACTTAGTCTTCTTGGATCAATATAAAAATATTCGTTATTTTATGTTTAAAATGTTTGTACACTCTGCGATAAAGTGGGACATTCGTAAAATCATTTAAAATACAAACATAAGTGCGTCATTGGCGAACCAAAATTTTCAATACAATATTCATAAAGTTGACACTCTCCCTCCTCCTTCTCATCAACATCATCATCATTATTATCCACATCCATTCTTTTTTCGACCGTCAACGCAGATGTTTCACCTTCATTCAGAAACTTGGTAAGGTTAATTTTTTGAATGACGTTGCGATTTTGTTTCACGAAGAGACTAGTGTGATTTTTAAAAATATAGAGGCAACTGTTGACGAGGACGGAAGGCGAATAAACAACGGGCTTTATTAACCTCAACACAGATGTCCACTGGTCGGTTTCAAATTCATATATCTCGCCATCCTTAATTCATTTAGGTTATTCAAATTAAAGAATTTGTAGGGGGTGTTCATAAAGGATGTCACGCCTTGCCTGCGTTCATTTTGAGAGAGAGAGAGAACTCACAAAGTCACAAAATTTTAAACTCCTTCATTAAAAACATTTCAATTTTTTGACACACCCTTCTTGAAAGTCACCATTTATATGCAAATTATCAATTAAAGCGAATAATGATTGACAATTAAAACCAAATAGGTACACCCATATATGTTATTGAGTAGGCTACATCTAACAGCCTTTAAACAATCGTGTACATCATTTCATGAATAAAATGAAAAAGAATAAAAATAAAGCATTAAAACAGCAAATTTCTTTGATGCATACTAAACCTATAAAATTTTATGAACTTTTTTTAACAAAATGTTTTTAAAAATTTTTTATTAATTAGTGATGGAAATTAAAAAAGTACAAAACGGAGTCACGTTGGCACCTTCCCCTCTCGTCACAAATTTTTGAATCACTCCCTCCCCTCAAAAGGCGACGACATACTTTATGGACAGCCACTAAGCTTTGTAAACAGAAAAGAACTATCTTTTATAAAATAATCATCTTTATATTTTTTTTTGTAATTTTTTAAATGTGTCAAAATAATAAAAGTAAAGAAATAGTAGATGAAAACGGAAACATCAATGAAGCAGAGAAACAATAACCATAGCATATTCTCTACGGTGCAGTTGATCAACTACTTTACCTCCCAGAACAATAAGTTTATTTCCTACGTAGGTCATGATGTGACAACAACGGGCAGTCAGAAGAGGGGTCCTGCACTCCCAACGGCCACCATAAGGGTCATAACGATATACGTTCGTCAAAAACCTGGCGCCATCATCCCCTCCACTAACGTACATCATACCTCTGAAAACGCAACCTATAAATGTAGAAAGTAATTAAACATACATTATTTTTTGGCTTAGTTTATTGAAATTTAAAATAAATAATTGAAACAAAATAATAATTCTGCTAGCAAAGAACCCTCATACAAAACGGACTTTAAAATAAATTCACTAAACCTGTCAAACTGGATACAGCGACAGGCAGACTTGCCAACAAGTACCATTTATCCTTATCTGGAAAATACTTTTCAACTACGTGAGTTCTATGTATCTTGGTGAACTGGCCAGAAACTGCATACAAATGTCCAGCTATTTTGTCAAAGTAGAATAGAGCTCTTGCAGCATGCATGTTACAGCACTGAAAAAAAAATTTAAAGTGGAAATTATTACAAATTTGAAACAATCATGAAATTCAATAAAGATTAAAATATTAGTAATTGAATATTGAACGACTGAATACGGAATTGAAAGCCGAATGTGGGAAAGAAGGAGTAGAAGCCATTGGAACATTGCAAAAAATTGATATTATAGAATGGGCTGGAAAGTTGAATGCAACAAAAATGACCAAAAATAAAAAGATTTTAGAAAACAACATAAATTTGAATTTTATCGACTAAACAAATCTTAGGAAAATTATTGATTGAATGAGTAAAGTAAAGGGGTGCAAAAATGAAAAGTGCATAATTCCAACATGCAGCTGACATTCAAATGTAAGCCAAATGAACGTTTACTATAATAATGAAAAAAAAAAAACAAAAAAAAAAACCTGTCTCCATGTGGATTTAATGAGATCATAAACGTATACTTGGTTAGAAAAAAATGCCTCTTCATTCAGTTTTCCAGCCAAATACAAAGAATCGTTGAGGATGCAGGCTTGGTAACGAAGCCATTCCAGAGGGGGTCCAGGCATCCTGCAAGATCGAAATTTAACGAGACTCCGACTTACACAGCCCTGGCTTCTTCTCTTTTTGCAAGTCATACTCACAAGGTCATAAACTGAGAGTGAATGAAAAAAATCGGGCACCCTCTGAGTAATAAATTTTTATTCAAAACTGAACACAATTAATTTTATGCTAGTTTTTTTATTAAAAGTGGCAGAAGTACTGAATAATAATAGAGGTTGAAAATAAAAATAAGTTTGTGCCACACCTTTTCAGAAGCCACTCCAAGACTAAGTAGAACACCAACTGAACGAGAAGAATTTGCATAATCTTGATTTATGTTAATATGGTTAACATTTAGAACACGAAGCCTGTCACGGCAAATCTGTTTTGAACTTGCAGTCATTAAATGGTACCTCACTTCACTCAACAATTTTTCTGCATGGCATCTCATCGAATTATCAACAGAAAGACAATTGATGATATAACTGAAAATATCGAACTCACTGTCACTATTAACAACATCTGCTTTAGCTAGACGATCTATAACATTTAGCGGTAATAATGTAGATCCTCCAGCAACAAATTTGAAATTGTTCAACCAATAATCTAAAACTGTTTCAAGTGCCTTGTCAAGGCTGTACTTATTTGCAAACAGCAGAATGCGTAAACACGTTTGCACATTCAAATGTTTCAATAACAATGCACTGTAATGATCAATCATACTATTAATTTGCAGAAATGATGCACCCTTCAACCCTTCTTCAATATTTTTCAATAACTTCAATGTCTTCCCTTTGATTTTCAATTGTGAGTAACATTCCTTAATTTCTGCAAAGAAATTTTCTGAACATATCAATTTATTAAACCCTGTCGTTGCATGGTTTGCTGAGTTTTTGTAGTATATGCCAGGATCTGGAAACAACTCATGACACGTCAATTGTGACAAATCACTGATCTGATCAATCATGTTTTCATCATCCATACAAATCACCACCAAATCATTCCTTCTGACATTCAATCGTTCTGCAATTTCTTTTTGGAATTTCAAACGTGATGAGATAACAGATGAATACTCACTGACTTCTGCCAAGCATCGATTAGATAATTCTTTCAAATCAAGTTCATTAGAGGCTGCATCTCTCATTCCACTGTTTACAAGACTCCGGTAGTAGCCTGAAATTTGACTGAATGTTTTCTTATCTATCTCATAACGACCACCTTTCTGAGAAATTAGTATAATGGTTTGTTGTCCTGCTGAACTATCAACTTTCTCAGTCTGTGCATCAGCTGTCTCCAGCATTATCCCCCAAAAAATCCTGAACCCAACTTTTAAAGTTTAATTTAAAAAAAAACTTACTTTAGATCCAAAATTTTAAATTTGCAACCATTTTTAAATTTAAACAAATTTAATTTTAAAATAGTTAATAAAATATCTATTAGGCTGGACACCATACTATACATTATATTATATACATTTATACAGCAAACAAAGAGGAGAAACGAACCAATGTTGAAATGTTAAATAGTTTTTAAAAACGGTTGTCTTTCAATTTTATATAATATATATTTTTTCAAGATTTACCATTTATTACTTTACTAGTTTACTCATACTGTTTACTTTGTGATTTATAAATTGTATACTACTTAATTAAACTTACCTATTTTTAACATTTAACAAATCTTTATTCAAGTCGTACTTTTTTAATAAGTCGTCAGCGGTTCACAGCGGCAAAATTGCATCATATTTTCTTATTACAAATTGTGTCCGTCGTTATTTTATTTCATCTGCAATTTAATTTTCTAACCTTCATTCAGCTTTGAAATTTTTAACTTGGCGCGCAACTATAAATTGATGAAAAGTTAACCTTTGAATTTTTAAAAGTGAATACAGATAAGCAGAACAATTTAAATTCGCTATCTCTCTGAATTATCTCTTTTCATTTTTTTTATTATTTTTCAAAATATGAATATTTTGAATTATGCTTATAACTATGCTGAAACGCCGTTAATCAATCAAACAAACAATCATTGAAATTGAATTGAAACATGGGAAGTATAAGGAGACGTTCTATCTCAAGGTTGACTGTAATGGAAATTGTTCTATTACATGATCACGTGGAATAAGTACTAGCACAAAGCACGTGTGCTTACCTAGGAGAGAGCGCCGTATGGTCTCGTGGGTCGATTACTAGACCAAAGTACAAGCGCTTACCTAGGAGAGAGCACCGTGCATGCCTATAAATAGCCTACGCAAATAAGTTAGCTCTCTTTCCTTTATGTGGCTCTTGGGTCGGAGTTGACGTTAGTAAAATTGAGTATTGTATTGTTGCATTTTCATTAATTTTGTTTATTCGAATAATTATTTAGTTAGGTTTTAATAAAGGAGGATTAATAATATATCTGTCGTTGTGTTTAGTTAATATCGAACCCGTTACATTGGTACCAGAAGTGGGGTAGTTATTTAATTGGTGATTAATTAAATAACTAATAGGACGTTTTGACATTTATATAAAAAGATTAATTAAATACTTAGTTATAAGTTGTTACATTTGTTGTACGTTTGTTGTAAGTTGAGAATTCAGAATTATAATGGATCGATTGACGAAGATGAAACAACAAAAATTACAACGTCTGTCGAACGAACAAATAACAAGGAAGCTACTGAAGAGATCAATCGACGAAGCCAGTGTACGATTGATGAGCCGATCACAGCTGTTAGAAACGTGGGCCACAATTTTGGCGGACAGCGCTGATTCTCCATGCAGTGTTGCGGCGGAGGGCGCTGTGTCGAAAGATGCTGAAGGTGGATTGACCTTATACGAAAGGAAACAGTTAGAAATGGAGTATAGGCTTCGAGAAGCGGAGATTGGTAGACAAAGAGAAAAAGATGAGAGGGAATATAAGCTCAAAGAAGCAGAGATGGCCAGACAGCGTGAAAGAGATGAAGCAGAGATGGCCAGACAGCGTGAAAGAGATGAAGCAGAGATGGCCAGACAGCGTGAAAGAGATGAAGCAGAGATGGCCAGACAGCGTGAAAAAGATGAAGCCGAATTCAGGCTTAAGAGTCAAGAATTAGAAATTCGACGACTAGAGGTAGAAGGTATGAATAATCGAAGAGTGGCCAATGATGCTAGTGAGGATAATAACACGATAAAACTAATGCAACAGACTCGATTTTTCGCGGAGTCGTTAAAACATCTGATAGGAACGTGTCCGTTAGAGCCAAGAGATATTCCTGCATTCTTTGAACACGTAGAGAAAATTTTTCGAAACTATCACGTAGACGGAGAAATTAAAGCCAATTTGTTGATAATGAGTTTGAACGAAAAGGCCAAAACGTGGTTACATACTATTTCCGCCGACGGTCTGAAGGATTATAGCGAAATTAAAAGACTCATTCTGCAGGAGTTCAGGTTGAACCCGACAAAATTGAGAGATGAATTCTTTGCCCTGAGAAGACAGAAAAGCGAATCGTACACGAGTTTCGGGGCGAAATTATACGGCACGCTGAACCACTATTTTCAAAGCCGTAACATTACGGGAT